TCTGAAATTTTCTTCTCTTTTCTCTTGTAAAGACACTGGTCATTGTACCTAGGGCCCACCCTAAATCCAAGACGATCTCAAGATGCTTAAGTTAATTATGTCTGCAAAGACCTTGTTTCAGAATAAGGCCATATTTTAACAGGTACTGGGATTAGGACTTGGATATATTTTTTGGAGGGGACACAATTCAAGACACTGGAGTGTTAAAAATACGTTATTCAGTGAAGAATATAAAACTATCCATCTGTATTTTTTTCTAAGTACTTTAACATCTAATCTTTAAGTCATCTGGAATTTATTTTGATGTAAGGGAGAGTTGTAAGTTTATTTTTGCATAATAATGTTGGCAAATCACCTAATTAATAAATGATGGCACTAGGATTTGAACCTATGTCTTTCTTATTCCAAAGTCAGCATTTTTTCTTTTATATAGAACTACCTCCTTTTAGTATTTTAACTTTGAAAAGGTTGCCAGTCAGGCTGTTTTTGTTTTCATGTATCTTCTTATAACACAAAGGGCTGTTGTTATGTGTATTGGCACTTGAGGTCATGGTGGTAACCAAATGGCTAAAAACAATGTTGCAGGTACTTTAGCCCCTTTTCAGCAGTTGTTATCTTAGGAAAGAATAAGAAGCACCATTTGGGAAAGTGTGTTGGAGAGCACAGTTTTGAGGCACTGACCCCATTTGCCGTGTCTGGTACAGGTCTTATGGAACTCCCCAGGGACACTCCTCAGGGACATTTGTAGTATCTGCTATTTTACTCTTATTAAAAGATATTAATATCTGTGTTGTTATACGTATTAATTTTATGAGGCTGGTCACACTAATGGGCTTACCCTTCTTGTAGAGACTTTTATTGGTAATTATAAAGATTAAACTGACATTTCTATTTTCCCATAATAGAATGGATACATAGGACCCACTTTGCACGTCTGTATCTGTTGATATATCTGTTTTCCATGGCTACATCATAAAGTTTGGTTTTGGTAAATCATTTAACACTGGTTCGTTTATAGTCTAGAATACAGTGAATACTGTGTAGTCTGTTCCTTCATATAATAAACATTTTGTATTAACTATAATTTTATATAAAAGTTTAGAATGAGTTATGAGAAACAAAACTTACAATTGCTCTGTTACTGATTTTTAAAGGAAAGTGCAAGAGAAGATGTTCTGGTGAAGACTGTCAGGGTTACTAATGTGAAACTTAACCCTGTTTATTTTCATGACACAAATGCTGATAAAGGTGGTTTTCTCCTGACTGACTCCATAAAACAGGGGCCAGAGTCTTCTCATCAAAATAAGCATTCGGCACCAGGTTCAGAAACAGTTTTGCACGTGGATGGATGCTTAGGCACTGAGACTTCTACAGTGCATGTTCAAAAAAATGTGGACATAGCATCTTTGAAGCCTGTTAGTGACAATGTAATTAATTCCACTGCTACTCTTTCATCACCAACTTGTGAAGGGCAAACCTGTGAATATTATGAGTCCATTGAAAAGAGTAAAGACCGTAAGTGGATTTTTTTTTTCTCAGTAGAATTAGAGAAATATATAAGATGTTTGTACATTTTGAATAGAATATATTTCCACGTGGAACTTGCCAGTCTTTCATATTGAAATATCTAAGTGTTTTATAGATTTTAAAGATTTTTAAATGTACTGGTACAGGAGGATTGTTGCTGAGAAAGGGTAACTTTAATCAGAGATCTAGTGGGAGTATACCTTTCTAAATCTTCCTTTTCTTTATCACTTACTCTCCATTATAGACTTTTGCTGTGAATAAGTCTAGCTTGAATGCCATCAAAGAGATTACTTTTCTTTTGGGGAAATGGGTTTTCCTCTTTCTACCTAGTTTTGGGCAACAGTACTTTGGTACTGTTGATAACTAAGGCAGCCAACTAAATAAAAAAATTATTTGAGAACATTTTAGTTACATGTATCATTGGATATTTTTGGAATTTTATTTTTTAGACATGGATCTCCCACAGAGTGTGGTCTATCAAAATGAAGAGGGCAGTTGGGTTACTGACCTTGCCTATTATACATTCCTTAATAATGAACAAGATTTAAATATGTCTCTAAATGATGAGATGAATGAATACTTCAGATCTGGTTGTAAGTATATACATAACCACTTCTATTGTACTGTTTTCTGATGGTGTTCACAGATAACCTTGTATATATTGGCCAGCCACATCAGATCCCTTCTGGAATATAATTGCATTTTGGAAGCTCTTCACTTGTTTTTTATGGGAACAAAGGATTGAGTTAGTCCATCTTAATCATTGTAGAATGATCCCTGAGCCATTTCCTTGAGCAAGGACAGTGAGTCAGACTAGTGCTCTTTTACTTTTGTTTAGAACCCATGGCACTGCAAGGTTGGAAGGGACTTTAGGTTTTACTTGGTCATTTTAAAAATTCTGTCCTGAACAGAAGAAATGTTCTTTATAAACTAAGTTTAAAAAGCCAACCTATTTTGGCATAAAAGCTAAGTGTGGTGGAAGAAAAGTGTCAAAAAAGATAAATGAAATCTTACAGGATGAGGGCATTAAAAGAAGCAATTAAATTTGTTGATTAGCGTAATCTCTGACAGTGAAAATAAAAGTTTGTTTAGGTCTGTGAACGCTAGGCGTGGAATTTGGAGTCTTAGTCTGCAAAGATATTGCTGTGTCACAACATCCAGTGCCTGAGCACCTCTGTAACTGGAATGAGGAAAGGCGTTCACCAGCCTGTCAAGCCCAATCTTTTTTTAGTAGGCTCAGAAGATTCCAGAGGAAGAATTTATTCAACTACGGCTTATGCTAAGCTTCTGCTGATGTCTAATGATGCAGAAGTACAGAGATAAGTAGGGTATTATTTCATTTCTTAAGCAACTTTATCAGCCAAGAGAGATAAGACAAGAATACACAACACATGATCAGCATCATAAGGACACAAACCAAATGCTTTTGGAGTTTAGAGGGGAAATGACTTTTGCATGAGGTGTAGCAAAAGGATTTCACATAGGAGGTCTCTTTTGAGTAGAGTTTCAACAGGTAATCAATTGGGGGCATGAGAAATTCCAAATGGAGGGAATATCCATTTGAAAGAACGAGATGGTGAAGCATGGGCATGTTTTGAGAAGGTGAGTTCACCGATGTGGCTAGCATTTATGGCAAGGTACAGGGAGAGCAGTAAGAGATGAGGAGATGAAGCTGGAGAGGTAAAGTAGGGCTAGCGGGTGGATAGAGTTTTGACTCCCCTGCCAATGAGTTGAGGCTTGTTTGGTCAGTGACAGGAC